GTACCGTTGAAGTTTCTTTAGTAGAAAAAAACAATCTCCTAAAAGAAGAAGTAGTTTGTGCCACACGACACCGCAAATACTCCTTTTTATACAACGTCCTTTTCGTGGAGGGAGCAAACTAACGTTCTTTAGTACCAATGAAGTACTCTGGGCCATAGGCGCAACGACATTGGAGGCAAGCCGGCAGATTATTTCATCTCCCTGGAGTAAGAACTTTGAAGGACCGACCTCAGTATAGGTTTTTGAATCGTTGGCTGAGAGTTATGTACCCATAAGAATCTTTCGTTGATAATCAGAAACTTAACTGTGTCAGAGACGATGTCTCTCTACTTCCTCCTTACGCGACTCGGGCTATTCATGAGATCGCCTTCTCGATCACCCACCTTTCGGTTATTGCCGGTATAAAGCATCAGACTTAAATATAAATAAATTTACGATTTTATCTATTCGAAGATACTTGTTTTCAATGATCTCTAGGTTTTAGTAAGCAGTCAATGATTTAATGCACTGTTAATTTAGTCGTGTCTGCTAGAGGATAGCTATGACACGAAAGCTTCTTGAGAATGTTTCCTTTTTTTACTATATGAAATATTTTTGTATCAAAAGCTGTTCGTAAACCAGAATTGACTTGTAATGTTTTAAAATATTATACAATTTTAGAGTAATCATTGAGTTTTGGTTGTTAGTTTTGTGTGGCCGTGCCCAAAGGAATCAATATCGGTGGTAAAAAGAACTTCCTGCGGTTTGACAACAGCTTTCTTAGCAGAATATACTTTAGTGAAAAAGGTAGTTAATAAAAAGGTGCTTTAGGGAAACGACGAAGATAATTCCTGAAGAAGGGTAACAATGGTGACAAAGGAGAAACAAAATTTTCAAACACACCTAGGCGACTGGTGCGTGGCAGAAATATTCCGCCTGGTTCTGGTATCGAACTAGGGACCGCTCCATTTCCAGTGGAGCGCTCTACCAACAGAGCTAACTAGAAGTTACACACCAGTAGAGGAAATGCGTTTTATCAGCTGCCACCGGTCTAACGCCAAAAAGGGTGACGGCTTGAATTTTCAGAGTTATGCTGATAATTCAAATAAATACAAAGGTGCAAGCGAGCTGGACAAGAATGACGCAAAAAAATCACTTGAGAACGGAAAGAAGTAGTACAAACGGCAAACACTAATCTCTAAACGCAGCTAGGTCACTAGTGCGCGACTGAAAACATCCGCTGGTCCTGGTACCGAACCAGGAACCTCTCCATTTTCAGTCGGTAGAGCGCTCCACTGGAAATGAAGAAGTCTCTGGTTCGATACCAAGACCAGGGGGATTATTTTGGTTGCGCACCAATAACCTAGCTGTGTTTGGTGATTTGTGTTTGTTCTTTGTATCCCTTATCTAGGGATTATTTTTGTTATTCTTGTCCACTCGCTTGCACCTCTGCATTTAGTTGCATTATCGTCACAGGTTTAGGGCGTCGTCTGACAGGAGCATGAAAGGTCTAAGGCTAGGAAAAAGACGTCAGAACATAAATTTGCGCAGCTAAAGAACAAGCAAAGGGAGGTTGCACCTGCCATTCAGACGGCCACGAAAGTATCTGAATCGCGTCAGCCCATCATAGGTTATAGCTGCTATTGGCCAGGCCACATTTCACGCATGTGCAGAAAAAGAAAAAGCACTGTTTCAAACTCAGGTCACTCAGGACATTATATAAAACGTAAAATGTACTTCGTTCCGTCCTGTAAGTATGACATCCTGGGGCGAGCAGAAGAAACCTTGATTAAGATAGGTCTCGTGAGGCACTGTAAAGTGGAAGTGGTTCGTCCATGAATTCCAGTAAAGCCCGCCGTAGAGACCAAGGGCAACGCGTCCAGTGTGTTAAGCTGAATTTTGCCACGCTGGACCAAAGATGCCAGATTCTTGCAGATTCCTCCATAGAAAAACACTTTTGCATTTACAAATCAAGTTAGGATCACGAGGCGTTGAGAAGATTAATCACCTACTCAAGCCTTCCACATTCTTTGTTTAAAAGTTAGTTTTAATGTTTTCTAATGTGAATGTTATTTGGTTAGAAATTTCTCAAACATATGCCTAGAATGAACCTGCTTAGAAGGCAGTGGTGCATTGTTTTGAAATGCGTGTAATGATGTCATTTGTAGTACGGTGCAGCTAAATTCAGCGCATTCGCAGCCAAGTCTACAAAGCAGCTTAATGATATGTTCCAAGGAGTTCCCACGTGAAAAATGACAAGCGCATTCTCATTTTAAGAAAAATGGTAACATATGAAAACTGCTGCAAGAGGGGCCGTTATTCGTCTGAATTTATGCAGTTTATCAACGCACCACGGAACGTGTTTAAGGTTTGCTCTCTTCGACGATCAAAGCAAGTTGTCGACGAGAATGCGCCGTACTTTCGAAGCGTTTTATTCATGGTCATTGTCAGCGCCATATCGGATATAAATGTTCGAGAACATATCCGTGAGGGACACAGCAGGAACACACTGAAGGCATGGCGGCTCTTTGGTGTTCGGGTCTGGTGCCTTTGTACCCTATTGTCTTGGTCACTGTTCTGTCGTTTGTTAAGGACGCCCGTCGGCCGTGGTGTTCCTGAGGTCTTTTCATCGGTCAGTTGGAAGCTGGGACTGCGAAAAGAGCCCATCGCATCGTCGGGGAAGATGCTATTTTTCTACTCCAAAGAGGCCGGGCTCGAATCACGGAGCTCTCAAGCAAAGACATTCTCAAAGACTCGGAACCAAGGCTTTCGCACACCTGTCAAAGTTACCGTCAATTCGTCTTTGTCTTTCTCGTCTTTTACCATGAAGCTGCTCCTTCGTCGACAAACATCCGGACCAATGACAGAGGGTGTTGGACCTCATCCTCATCGAACCCGAGTGAGCTGTGCCGGGTGACCGCGGCGCTAGGTTCTGGCCCTGAACATGAATACATCGGAGGCGGCAGCCGTCTACCTAGACTGGGCCACCCCTCTGGAGCCGCTGCCTTCACCGAGGCGAACGACCGCACCGTCAGGCGCCAGGCCAGAGAGGTTCGGCAACCCTAGTGGCTTGCTGGCAAGGTCTCACATCGCTCACTTATTTAACGGGCAATTCTAGCGGATTATTCGGGGTAAACACCCCCAACTTTCGTCGAAATGTCCGAGAACATTACTGGTACCGATTCCTCCAAGGACTTGCGACCGGAAGGCGATATCTTTCGTTTTTCTGGGGGAACTCGACAACTCGTGGCTCTGCGGCCGCTGAGTCTACTTCCCACCGGAGCAGGCAACGACTGGAACCCGTTCTCCGTTCTCCCTGACAACGCAAGCGGACATCACGAAACCCCCGCATCCGAAGGCAGCGACCACGACGCCAAGAAACGGCGCACGGGCACGATGAACGCGGTCGGGGGACGCTTCGTCAATGCAGCGTCTCACGAGGCCGCCCGCCGGATGACTACGTGGGCTAACTTTGGGTCCATCGCAAACCCCGCGGACGCCGATGAGGAAGGCTGGACGCCCGTCACACAGCTCAGAAGGAAGGTACGTACCACGAACTACACCGTCATTCTACGGCCGAAACAACCGATCAGGATGGCGGCACTCTCCCCGAAGCTCTTCATAGACGCGGTCAGGAGCGAGGCGAATAAGATTCGCGTAACGACCGGTTTCAAGGTTCGCGTGCTGCACAGGTCCAACACGATCGCCATAGACACCTCCAACCCCCAGCTAAGAGACCACCTTCTCAAGGTGGAATCTTTCCCATTCGGGGGCGAGACGCCAATTCTAGTGCAAACCTATGAGCCAGCTAGGCGAGAAAACGCCCGGGGCGTTATCCATGGCGTCGACGAATCGAACGCACAGACACTACAACGAATGATCACATGTCCTTCACATCGAGTTCTCTCGGCGCGACCCATGGGATCGTCTGGCTCCATTCTCATCACTTTCGACGGCCCGACTCTCCCCTCGCACGTGTTGTACGACATACTCGAGAAGAGGGTCTTCGAATACAAACCCAAAGTCATAGTATGCTCTCAGTGCCATGACATCGGCCACAAGCATGACATCTGCCCCAACCAGCACCGGCAACGATGCGAAAAGTGCGGCAGGATGAAGCACGGCGATGACGAATGCAACGGCGAAACGCCAGAATGCAGGAACTGCAAGGGATCTCACATTGCGACGGACTCATGTTGCCCGGCCGCGAGGAAGGCCACTCAGAACCTCAGATCCAAGCTCCAACCACCCGGAACACCACCCAAACACGAGCCCTCACGAAACACGCGACCCTCACGATCGAGGAGACGCAGGCGCCGCCACAAGAAATCGACCAACGCCGGCAATGGCAGCGCCAACACAGACGCACAACAGGTCGCGCCAAAAACACCGTCGCCGAACCGGACCTCAACCAGACGTTCTAAACGACCCACAGACACTAATTCCAAAGCAACCACTATCGCACCTGCACCAGCAGCAGACCCGGCATCGACCGGTATCAAAAGATCGGCAGGCGGACAGCCCGGTGAACCTTGCACATCGCAGACACCAGGCACGGAACAGATGGAGACGGACTTCCCGCCCCTGCCCATCCGCTCGGCTCCCCAGGCAGAACCCAACACCGACGCCTTAGTTGCTGCGATGCGCAAAAACATTTGGCACAACAGAAAATTACCGACAACAGAGCCTACCACGCCAGCGCACCGCGAAGTGACGAGCTCGAAAACGCCGCGCCTGGACGAGGAGACGCTCAGCGTCATACGAGAAGAGGTCAGAAGAGCGCTAGCCGAGGCTTGGCCACGCCTCGTAGAAGGCCTCCAGAACCTCATTTCGGACACGATTGCCCAGTGTCTCACACCAACCGTCGCACCAAAATAATGGAAAGTGGTCGACACGGAGCTCCTACCAATCGACGCACGGCCGCGAGCGATGCGTGGATCCTGCAATGGAACTGCCGCACGCTCGCAAACAAAAAATCCGAACTGGTCCACCGACTACAAACACAAGGCAAACCGCTCGCGATGCTGCTCCAAGAAGTTAACAGCACCGAGATCGTCATCCCAGGATACGACGCCTACTTTCAACCCACAATCACGCATCGCTCGCAAGGGCGGGAATCGGGCAGAAGAAACGCGCGGGGGCAGACGGCGATCTACATAGACAAGACCGTTCCACACATTGAGGTGATTGACCTGAGCAGATGGTGCAACGATCACCAGGAAGTAGTGGGCGTCCGCACCCGGTTCAGCAAACGCACCCTGCTCCTTGTTTCGGTCTACGTCCGGCCAAGAAGGACGGGCAGAGCGCGCGAGAATTGGGATTGGATATACTACATTCGATCCACCTACTCCAGCGATATACTCGTTATCGCGGGAGATTTCAACGCGCGGCATCAGGCGTGGGGCTATGCCGAGAATCACTACAGGGGAGAGACCCTACGCGACGTGATGGCTGCCAACTACATGGAGCTGCTCAACGACCCTAATATTCCGACACGTTACGGACACGGACGCCAGGGGGATACAACCCCAGACCTCACGTGGGGGTCGCGTAACGCACGGACAGATTGGGAAGTTCACATGGACGCGATGGGCAGCGACCACTTCCCCATACTTGTCACGCTCAAAAATGTAAGAGGAAAAAATAACCAGAAAATAAAAACTCAAATCACAAAGTGGGATGACTACAGAAACCTACTACAAGAATGGGAGGTCCTGGAAGGCGAAACACGGCCCTGCGACCTAGTCCAACGTCTGCGAGCAGCAAAGGCGCAAGCCACACGCACGGTAAACGTGGATCCGGACACCCCCAAACCTGACTTACACTTGCTCAATCTGTGGGATACCCGCATCGAAGCGCTCACGCGATACCGAGAGCGGGGCAAGAAACCATGGTTGCGCAGGCGCCTTGACCAGGCGACGGAAGAGGCGCGCCAACACGCCCAGAACTTGGCACAAGAACGTTGGCAGGACCTCTGCAACCAATTCAACGGACGGATGCACCTACTCCAAATATGGAACATGTTCAGGAGCTGGCAGGGCAAGTCAAAAAGACGGACGGCAGCACAGATGGTAGCTCTCCGACTCGACAAGAGTGAGGAGGAAATCGCCACGATGGCCGGAACAACGTTTTTCCCACAACCCAACGAGAAGAACGAGACTTGCTACGACCACGGAGACGAAGCGAGAACAGCAGCCCCAAACGATACGCCGTTCACTCTGGCCGAGCTACAGGCCGCGCTCGACAAGGCTAACGTTCGGAGCGCGCCCGGACCGGACTGCGTGTCCTTCGCGGAACTTCGCAATTTACCCACGGAATTTAAGTCCAAACTCCTTGAATGGATCAATGACGTGTGGGAGACGGGCTCCGTCCCGGACGATTGGAAGGAATCTCTCGTGATCCCGATACCGAAACCGGGCAAACCGCCGATTTCCATTCAAAATTTGCGACCCATTTCCCTCACGAGCAATGTCTGCAAATTGGCGGAAAGAATGGTTCTCGCAAGAATCCTCTGGCAGCTCGAAACGGAGGACCGATTCCACCATTGCCAGACAGGCTTCAGACAAGGCCTGAGCACGCAAGATAATCTGCTTATGTTATATCGCGATGTTCTGGAACGACCATCGAAATCTCAGCCTCGAACGGTCGTCGCGGTCGACATCCAAAAGGCGTTTGATTCCGTCCCGCACGCGGCGGTGATCGAGAGCGCGGGCCTAGCGGGCGTAGGCGAGCGAGCGCTCAACTTCATCCGCGGCTTTCTTCGTGATAGACGGTTTAAAGTCAAGATCGGAGACAAGACAGGTCCCGAAACTACCAACCACGTCGGCGTTCCGCAGGGGGCGGTCTTGTCGCCGACTATGTTTAATATGGTCATGGCACGACTGCCTCCGCGCCTGTCCAAGATCCCACAGCTTCGTTTCGCCTTATATGCGGACGACATTGCCCTCTGGTCAGTGGCCGGCTCCGTGGGGGAGCAAGAATATACGCTTCAGCGAGGACTCGACGAGGTCCAAAGATTTTTGGAGGAGGTAGGTATGACCGCCTCCCCAGAGAAAACGGAATTTGTCGTCGTTCTCTCCGGCCCGCAGCGAGAAGCTGAGAAGACCAGAAACCTCTACACTTTGAACCTGGCCGGGAAGCCCATCAAGCGCAGCTCGACGGTCCGTGTATTGGGTCTCTTTATCGACCAAGACGGCAAAGCTGGCACGTGGATGGCCCGCGTGAAAAAGGAAAGTCGGCAGATCCTGCACCTCATTCGCCGAGTGACCAGCAGAAGATGGGGAACCGGCGAGAAAGAAACTCGGCAGCTCGTCCAGTCTCTCTTCTCATCAAGAATCTTCTACGGTTACAACTACCATCACGTCACTACAAAACAACGGGAGGAGCTGGAAAAGTTAAACCGCGAAGCGATACGAATCGTAACGGGCCTTCCAAAGTACACCTGGACTGCGGACCTCTATGCCCACGGCGGGCTGAACAGGCTGGCCGACGTGGCCGAGCAACTCTTGTCTGCACAGAGAACTCGGCTACTGAGCACACGTGCTGGGCAGAGGATTCTCGCAGAGCTGGGAGACCTCCCACAACCGGCACCGCCGATCCCCCCGGTGCAAGAGCCGCCATGGGAACGACAAATCAATCTCACAGACGATGCACCGCTCCCAAGTCACATGGGCCCCGATCATCCTGAGAGGAGATCCCGTTTCGCGGCAGCGCACGAGAAGCTTGTCAAAAACAGAGATGGAAAGAAACACGTCTGCATCTACACCGACGCGGCCGCAGAACAGCCGTCACCGGAAGAACCCGGAAGCCCTCTCCGAACATCAATAGCCTGGGTTGACACCACCACCCTCGAAGTGGATGCGTGCGCGCTGCCCCCGGGTGTGGGCGTGAAGGGGGCCGAACTTGAAGCCATTCTACGAGCAGCAATACACGCAAAGGAACGTCACTCCGTCGGAACAAAGGTGACTGACATCACTATCTACACGGACTCCAGGGAGGCATATTTGGAGTGCCGTAACGCAATCAAGAGTCAGAGCGAACGAGTGCGAAATATTCACGACGTCGCGAAACGCCTACTGCATGACAGGAACGTCACACTACGAGTCGACTGGGTCCCGGCACACGCGGGTATCCGGGCGAACGAATGGGCTCACAGCGAGGCACGAGCAGCACTGCGCAGATCAACCGTGTCAGACGCAACCAACAACACAAAAGAGCCCAGACACGCCCCAGCGCCGAGTGAAACTGGCCCGCCGGACGACTTACCAGACTCCGCGGAATTAGCGGCAATTGCCAAGAAGGAACGTAAAGCCATCCTCCTCCGATTGAGACAAGACGCCGCCGCCGCGAACCGTCACAACCGAGAGATACCACCGATGCCTCCAGACCTGAACCGCAGGGCACAGGTCACCATAAGGCGGATTATCACCAACACCGCCCTCACGCCGGCACTCAGGCACAAGATGTTCGGCGATGATCCCAACAAAGGCAAGTGCCGAGCCTGCGCAGTGCCGGCGACCACCTCGCACCTGGTCTGGGAGTGCCCGACCTATGCCAGAGCCCGGGAACGCATTCTGTCGGAGTTACCGGCAGAACACCGACCCACCAGCTACATCGACTGGATTCTACCCCAGGACACGTCGCTCGGGACTGTTCAACTCCTGTGGAAGCACCTCTGCCTCTTCGTCCACGCAGACGGAGGGCCTGGAGCCCTGCTTCTACACGGCCCGCCAAGGAAAGAAATCCCCCGTGTCTCTCCCCCGCCGCTGCTGATGCCGTAGGACAAGAGCAGCCTCGAAAAGGCCCAATAAAGACGTTTACAAAAAAAAAAAAAAAAAAAAAACTCATCGAACCCAACAGCCACCACCAATCACACCAGGATCCCGCCTGTGACAAAATATCGTGACGTCACTGCGTCTATATCAATCAATCAATCAACCAATCAACCAACCAATCAATCAATCAATCAATTGATCAATATAATAATTGATCAATTAATCAATCAATTAATAATTTTATTGCAGGTTAGAAATTGATGTAGGCTGCTGGGGCAAAAAGTCAGAAGTTTGACTTGATAAGGCCTCTACAGCCTAGAGGGACCCGCGGATTCGCGCGGCGGAGACAGAATGAGACTGTCCAACGCTACCATCATCTAATCATGTCTCATTCGACATCGTCCTTCCTTTAGCCCGAATGTCGTCTCCAGCCTGTCCGTCCCCATCCTTTAACACCGCGAATTGCCGTAGAATAGCACCCACTTTCGAAGAACGGTAATGGCTATGAATATACCAAAAAGTAGAAATCTTTCTCAGATTTTTGTATTAGTGAAACTACACCACTATAGAGCTATAGCAAACCGCGAACGCTGATTTGTTTTTCATTTGCACGTCATTTTGTTTGTGAGGAAGTTGAGGTCTGGGCATTTCTATGGCTTATGCTAGTCTTCCCTGTAGCCTTTTATGATGTTAAGATAAAAAAAAAAGTTCCGCGTTTTAGACAGTAGGACAGTTCACACGTTCATAACTTCTGTCTTAACTAAATAAATAATTTTTAAGGTAGACGCCAAGCCACAATTGAGTCCTCTCGGCACAAGCCATTATACGCCAAACACGCAACGAGACGCAGCCTAACACACTAATCCGGTGAAAATTTTGTTGTGCGTATGTTCATACAACCTGAAATTTGTCTGGTTCAACGTGCGTCTTGCCTCTTAGATGTAGATGAGCAATTTAGCCAGTTCAGTAAAATCACAACTCTGGGGTCTTTAACGAGCGCCACGCAGTTGTGGTACATAATCGCACTACGGTACGATGCCCATCCAGATCAAAACGGGCAGGGGTGGGCATCGAAGCGAAGATCCCTTGCCATTCCAGTGACAGTGAAACAAAATCAGCGGAACCTTGCTTTTTATAAGCTCCTCGAACCCGGCGTGTCGCGGCAATCGCCCAGTGTTGTTCAGTGTTTTTCTATTGCTGCTAAAAAGATTTGCTTGTCAGTGTTGGGGAAAAGAGAAGAAAACAGTACGGAGTTGCTTTATTTTTTACCCCAGTTCCAGGTTATTCATCATAATGGTAGACGGAACAGCTCTTTATTCTGCTAGCCCCGAGACGCATAGGCAAGCGCTGGTTTTAGTTTAGACAGCATTAGGTAAAGAGCATTTTATCCCTGTTGTGGTGGGCGCCAGTATCGTCGTATTGCGGCGCCTGTATCGTTCCATGGTTATGAAAGAAAACAGCTAATAAAGATGAAGGTTCTGCACCGGTACTAGAGGAACAGTGTCGCTTTCGCTGCTTCGGCAGCAATACAACAGTGGCGAAGAGAAGGCGATGTCATATGCTTCGCGGTGTCGCCTTTATTTCTGCCTGCTCCCCGAAAACCTGCTATTCTGTGGAAGTGGCGACGTGTGTTTAACAACTAGTTGCTTGCTTCGAGAGGCAACGCCGACGGACCTGCGCGGCGGAAATGCACTCCCTCGCGGTTCAGAATCAACGAATCTTCTACACCATCGCGGAGACGCGCACTCCGTTACCGAAACTGCGTGCACCACCTGAAGGCCAAAATGCACCCACTGCGCCCGACGAGCACGATACCGCTCTGGCAGTCCTGGAGAGCTATATCGCAGCGACTTCAAACGTGGTCGTCGCCTGACATCGCTTCGGGCAGCGAGCGCAGCTACCCTTGAAATTCATTGACGCATTTCTTGATGAACTACGGGACCTGTCACCGAACGGCCAGTTTGAGCCATGGTGGACGTGTCTATCTGACAATAGCTAGTTCCAAAGGCGTCGACTCAGCAGCTAGGAGAATGGCTGTTCCTGGAGGGTACTTTTTTCACTCCGTACCGTGTGTCGGTCATAAGCCGTCTGATTGAAGAAACGATACGCTACTACAACGAACTCGTATAGGCTTCAGCGCTGCAAATGGGAGACACTAACCCTACACGGAGCGCTAAGCGACCACCGCGTCCACAGAGGGGTGAGCCTCCGTCCTCTGAAAAAAAGTGCTTTTTTTTCGAGTCGTCGGGACTTCTTGTGAATTCCACTACATGTAAAAAAAGAGGAAAAAAGCGCACGGCATGCGGAAAAGCAGCACATTTCTGTGCTGTCTTCAGGAGTAGTCGGCCACGTTAACCAAGGCCGCGCATCAGAGAAGCTCAATGTTTAGATGACTGCGATGATTACGCCCTCAGTATTTTGCAGGTACACGGAAAACCGAAAATCGGTACCTCCCTATCTCTTGATGTCGATGGAACGGTGTTATCCTTTTTGGTCTACTACGGGTCAGCAGTTTCGATAACCTCCGGAGATACGTATCAAAATAAGTTTGTCTCTTCGCTTCGGCTACTTGACACGGCTGCCAATTAGTTCGATTTTTTGCAGCGGAAGATTGCAGCAACGGATTGTTTTGTTGCCGCAGTCGCTTACAAAAAGCGAAGGCTGATGCACGTTTCTGCGTCTTAACAAAAGGCACGAATAGATTTGGAATTGGCGCCGTCGCTTGCCTGTCCCTCGAAATCAACACTACGTGCGTGCCATCCGGGCTGCCTCCGGAGCTAGCTAAGAAATTTGTACACCTGTTCGACGGAACGCTCGGTACTGCGAATGGATTCGCTCACAAGGTTAGGACACGACAGGGAGTTCTTCCCGTGTCTGCAAAGTTGCGAAGACTTCCTTTCGCTGTTTGAGATGAGGTCTCGAGAGAGCTCCAACGACTGTCTCAGGAGGGGATCATCGAGCAAATTATACATCAAAATGGGTGTTTTGATGTATAATTCAAAACACCCATTTCATAATTCATCAAAGTAAAGAAGTGCAATGTAAAAGTGCGACTATGCGTAGATTTGAGAAAGCCGTCGTTACAAACACTTTTCCGTTACCTCACAAGCAGGAAATCCTACAGACACTTGTCGGAGAAAGGTCAGCTTTGCGGATGGATTTTTCCAGCGTGTGTCATCAGGTCGTCATGAATCCTGAAAGCTGAGAGCTAAATGCAGTTCTACCATAACAAGGGTCTGTTCTGTTTCACAGGGGTTTGTTCCGTACTGAGCTTGTCTCCTGCTGCTTTCCAAAAGATGGTGACTACAATTCTGTAGGGGTGCCGGCAATGTCTCTGCTACCTGGATGACATCCTTTTCGCACACCGGAAAAGAAACATATCAAGAATGTGAACGAAGCTCTCCCCCGCATCGACGAAGCAGGTTTGAAGTTTAACGAAAAATCCATTTTCAACGTTTGGGAACTCTGGCTTTTGGGACACGCCGTCAGTGAACGGGGGGTATCGCCCATGTAAAGCCACGTCGATGCTATTGTGAAGGCTCTAGCACCGACAGATGTCACCATGCTACGTTTTTTAAGCCATAGTCGGAGTTTACGCGAAGTTCATTCTTCAATACAGATAGCTGGCGGAACCGCTGCGCGAGTTTCTAGGTAAGGGTAAGCCTTTCTGCTGGGCTTCAGCTCGGGAGGATAGGTTCCAGTGACTAAAGTCTCCGCTTCCTTGTGAATCGCTGTAGATGTTCTACCCCAAGCTGCCCGTGGTCGCGACAAAGGTTGCCTCAGCGTACGGCCATGGAGCTGTTTTGAAGCAGAAAACTGGAGGCGACTTGATGACCATATCCTTCGCATCGCGGAATTTCTCATCGCAAGAGCGAAAGCACTCCGCTGGAAAGCGGGAGACGTTGGCCCTATGTGGGTATGCGAGTACTGACGTGTTTTCTTGTGGGGTAGGCATTACACTCCAGACCGATCATCAGTCACTCCTAAAACTAGTGAACTCGCAGAGAACTGGCCAGCGTCCTTTTGGAATTTGAAGGTGGTATACTCGGTTGATCGCACACAGCTTCGCTATGGTTTTCATTAAAGGAGAGGGCATTGTCATCGGAGACACCCTTTCACGGTTGCCTCTTGAAGGGACTGCCAAAATACTGCAAAAAGATGAACCTGGTTTTGCCTTTTTTGTTTGTGCATCGCAGCAGCAATTTACTGAACAGACTCTGCAGGACAGCCGTCTATAGCAAGTGATTCCCTGGGCGACCAGCACCTGGCCGCCAAGGAAGCATTTGCATCAACTCATGGCGCCCTTCAGCCAAGTGATGGACGAGGTGTCTGTGAGTGGAGACATGCTATTTCAGGGAGACCGTGTTGCTGTCCCTACTATTTTTACGGCGCAGACAGTGGAGCTTGCATAGGAAGCCCCATCCTTGGATTTCAGGAACTAAACCGCGAGTCCGGGAGACGCTTTAGTGATCTATATGGACGTGAACATTGAGACTGTCGTTAAGTCCTGCAGCGTTTGTCCACCAGTGGACAAGTCGGCAAAGCCGGTAGTGCAACCAATACATCCAATTGAATTTCCATCAGCTTTATGGGAGAAACTCGGAATCGGCATTTTGAGACCTTTTTCGAGTGCGCCAAACTATTCCCGTTACGGTGTTACCTTCATTGACTATATCAGGAAGTGGCCGGGAGGTGTCTCTGTCGAGTCTGATGACTTCGGGAAAGATAATATTAACTCTATTTTCATCTAATGATGGGGAAACCCAAATGAAAAAAAAAGCTGTAGTAGGCAGCTTGAATGGTCCTCGGGTCCCCTACACTGGTCAGAAAGAAGCATGCGGAGAAATACAAAAGAGACAATGTGTACAATGAAGCCGTTGCACGTCTACAGTTGACATTTATACAAAATAAGTTTCACCAAGTGCAAAACATAAAATGGAAATCAAAATCACGTACGAAGAGTTGAGGTCAAGACCTTGACCTCTAATTTTGTCAATGTGTGAAATTTAACATTTGACACCCATAGTT